CCTATTACTCAAGAGGAATTTGCTCATTCATGGTTAAATACTATAGATCGAGTCAAACAATATAAACATACAATTTGGCAAGCATGTAACTATGAAAAAAAACAGGAATAAACTGAACGCATTAAATTCTATATTAATCACAGATACTTTGATTTTAAAGACAATACTAGTTGAATACTAGATAGTATTCTACAAAGGTGAGCAAAACCTATTAGCTATGAAAAAGTTATAACATCTGACAGCATAATCACTAACCAAAAAAAGATCAAAGAAGCTGTACATACTTATTTCAAAAACTGGACAAAAATAACTCTTCTAACAATTCATTATAAAAAGAATAAAAGCTATTCTACTCTCTATTTTAGCATATATGAAAGAATATTTATAATACTCTTCTTTCACTTATTTTAATAACCGAATTGATACAAACAATAAATCTAGCCTCTAAAGAAAAAGCAACTGAACCCTCTGGAATCACAAATAAAGTTCTTAAGCAATTGCCATCTTCAGCTCTTTCAGTTTTACTAAATATTTTCAACAGCTGCATGATATAAGAAATAGTCCCAAACCAATAGTTACAGGCTAATATTTGGCCAATTTCTAAAAAACAACAATATAATTATGAACTAAATACTACCTGTTCTATTACATTAATAGACTATATCAAAAAAATCTTTACAAAAATTTTAACAAATCGTTTAATAAATATTCTAGTTCAAAACCAAGTCTCTCCTTTCATAACTTTGCAGCTTTTTCTCATTAATCAATACTTCAACCTATCTCTCAACTCACTCACATCCTAGAAGATACAACTATAAACCAAAAAGATATCTGGATTTTGTCCCAAAATATGTCAAAAGCCTTTAACTCAATTCATATACCAACTTTATGCAAATCTTTCAAAAGAATATATATATCTAACAAAGCAATTGACCTGCTATCATATTTGCTTAATTATCATACAAACAAAATAATTACTAGTTTGGAACCAACTCAATCCTACTCTGTCAAAGATGAAGTAGATCAGGAAAAAACAATCTCATCACTACTTTGGAAGATCTATTACAATCCTCTTATATCTAAAATCTATACAGAATACCAAGGATTTACAGAAAAGATCTTATCTATTCGCCCAAAAAAAATTTATATCTCAGGAATAATATACATGAATAACTTTCTGTAGATTGTACCTAACAAAACTTCCCTTATCAATATCCTCTATACAGCTTCTTTCTTCTATAATTTTGCCAATATAAGAGTCAATTCTACTAAGTTAATTCTAGCAACAAACTTAAAAGACTCAGATAATAGTATAACTTTTGAAAATGAACAACTAATAGCAATTGCCAATGGAACACCATTCAAGTACCTAGGAGCATGGTTCTTTACTAACAAAAAACAAATACTTGTTCAAAAAGAAATCATAGCTGAGGCAACAATCAACTTAAAAAAACTACAATTTGCTCATATAACAGAAAAACAAATAATTTATATAATAAATAGCATTATTCTTTCACATTTGCTTTATAGATTGCACTTCACATTTCTCTCTAATACTCAAATCAATATACTTAACAAAATCTGCACTAGTTTAGTCAAACACAAAGCTAGACTAGCTCAAGGAGTTCCAAACTCATTTCTATTCAACCCAGACATATATGCCTTAAGTAACCTAGCTCAGGCTCAACTTTCTTCCTTAGTAACAGTATTTCAAAAAAATTTAAACTATCACAGTTTTGATTTCTCCTTCTTAAAGCTACAACTACAACAATTACAAGACTCAGCTTTTACTAATACCTCTATTTCATCCAACTTCTAGTTTTTTCAGCTTCACAATTAAATACACAAACTAGCCAAATGGTGCTTACACTTTATGCCTTAAATTTACAAACCTCATGAAATGGTAACAACTGGTCTTATCTAAAAACTTTTACTGGAACTTCAATAAACCAAATTCTGTTAAATTATTCTAAAGCATCTTATCTTAAAGAAAAGCTAAATAATCATAACATTGCTAGTATAGAACAATTTCTAAATGCAACCAACTTAGAGCTTCTAGAATGGAACAATTTTCATTATAACATTAAAAAGATATCGAGAGGATGTTGTCTACACTGGTTTCTTATAGTTCAAGACTTAATAGCAGCCTTAATTAATCCTTCATCAACATTTTCATACATAAACTCTTACACCTTGTCTTAATGGAACACTAAAGAGAAATGTTGGATAATTACAAATAATTTTATTATTGGCAAGATATATAATTCATACAACAAAATCTTTAAAGTTCAACATTACATTCTAAAGCCAAATAACATAATATCAGCATGTGTTGGCTGTGATCTAAGAAATTGATCATATTGTTCCAAGCATTGCTACTTTAATGTAACAACATCATTATACAACTTACAAGTAGACTGTAAAAAGAAAATCTACTTAGATATTGCAGATTTCAAAAAGGTACTAAACTATACTAAATTAATAACTGTAACTTAAGAACAAATACATGATGCAAGCCCAATATTAGAAAGACCTTTATGTTCTTTTAAAAACCTACCAATCAACCTCTGAAAAATACTAACAGAAGCTAACTTTACTACTAAGACATTAATAATTTAATTAACCTCCAACTGACAAACAATAAACAACAACTCTCAAGTAATAGCAAAATGCTATATACAAAGCATCAACATCTGTTTTGGTTACTTTACTAACCAATGGCCTTTACACATAAGCATGATACTTAATTTATTAAACTTTATCCTTACTACAATCAATTCATATACAGAAGTAAACATTTGTACAGACAATCCTATCTTTATTACATATATTAACCTGATAACTTCTATTAAACCTTACAACTATTCTACACTAGACAAGTAGCAGCATACATACCTTCTTCTAATTCTAAAAGCACTTTCATATAATTGGCAACTTAACATTACTCTAGATTAAGATATAAAAATTAAAGAAATTACAAGCATAATTTTCCTATTAGACCCAGCATTGCAATGCTTTTTATACAACCACTTTGTTCCAAGACTTCTTAACAAATCATGAGATATCTTCTAAAAACTATTTTAAAACATATACATCAAATTACAAACCAGCTGTCATGGTTTTATCAACAACAGATTTTAGACTAGTATACATCACAAAACAATATTGATTGGGCTTTTACACTAAAATACATTTCTTATAGAGAAAAACTACTAGTATTAAACACTGACTCATCATCTTCAGCAATCAAAAATTTCAAAATTAAACTGCTATCTGAAGAACTTCCAACTTATCTACTACTGCATTAGAGAAATAGAAAAAAATATCCAAACCACTTGTGTTCAAGATGCTATAGTATTTCTGAGGACATTGTTCATCTATTAACTTGCATTCAGAATCACATATAGTTTTCAATTTTAATTAGACAAACAGTATATAAAACTTCATGAAAATTGAAAATATCATGCTTGCACTTGGATGCTTTTGTTAAAACATTTGTTACTATACATATAACTAAGCAGATACCACTAGGACTTATTACTAGAGATATATTAGCACCTTTTGATACAAATAGTTACAGGCATAAATATGCTTCACTAATATATTATAACATTATTATTGCAATATACAAAACAATTTGGCTTGTTTCTAAAAAGGCAAGTTATAACTCAATTTTTCCAACCTCTGTCCCAATACAGGCTCCAATATTAAACAAAACTAAGACTTTGGCTCCATCTTTTATAGAAAGAAAACTAGTAAAATATATAAACAATGAACTAACTCTAATGCATCTTCTTGAAGACTAAAAGTTTAATGACCATTTTAGCAAAGAATAGGTTGAGAGTAAAGTAGCTTTTACTCCTATCTCTCATAGTATAGTTTTTTCACATATATTTATTTTATAATGTACAATTGACTATAAATAAAAGAGATAGAGAATAGACCTCTTTTTAAAAAAAATAAGATAAAATAAAAATAAATAAAATAAAAAAATAATTATATTTATAATTAGATTAATACTAATAAAAGTTATTACTATAAAATTTTAACAATTTTTAATTTAAACTACATTTATTTTAACAATTTGAATTCTAAAAAGAAAATTAAAAAATTAAAAATTAAAAAATATAACAATTTAGTATAGTAGATAAGTTGTAATCTTTTTAAAATTTTTTTTGACTTTTATTAATAACTTTTTTGATGATGTAATTCTATAAACTATTACAAAAAGAGTGTACAATTGGTTATATATATAATTTTTCTATATTATTTATTTAAGAAGTCTGTTCAAAAGTTTTTTACCAATTGCTATATCTAATACTTTTGCTTAAATGTTTTATTTTAAACTTTTTGAACTTGCATCTATGTTAATATTACTAGGTCATATTTAAGTTATTGTCTTAATCTTAGAACTATTTTATTCTTAAAATAAACTATTTAACATCTTTTGTACGAAAACTCTTTCCTGTTCACACCAGATCAGGAAAGGCAAATAAAAAACAACAATCATAATCTTGACAAAAAGAAACCAAAACTTATCAAATAAGATACTAACAAGGGCCAGAGCCCTTGTCCCAAGAAAAAGAAAGCTTCCTCGAAGAGTGAAGCCACTGCCAACAGAAAAAATCTTCAAAATACAAAAACTTGATCTTGAAAGAGAAGAAAATACAAACGACTCTTTTATTAAAAAAATAAATAACACAGATACTAATCACACTTTAACAGCTCAAGAAATAATAAAATCAGCAAGAAATGAAGAACTAGTACCAGTTGTTGTAGTTCAAAACGAGGAAGACTAGTTAGAAAACTTGATACAAAATGAAAAAAGTGCTTGGGCTTTAGAAAACACATCTAGACATAGAAACAAAACAGGTGATCAAAACGAAAACAACAACAAAAACAGTCACGTGTTAGGTACAACAGTTGAAACATGTGTTACTAGAGAAATCCAATCTGTAGGCAAAGTTACTCAAAGCTATGCCTCAGTAACCAAACAAGGCATGAACCTGACTGCTAAATTGAAAAGGAGAAAATCAACCTTTGTTGCTTTCTCACCTAAAAACCAAGTTAGATCTAAAAACAACAATGCACTGATCATTGAAATCGCTAGTCTCCATAATTCTCTTAATAAAATCATGGCTTCTTTACATGAAGAACTAGGAAAAGACATCATAGCTGCCAAACAGCATTTTAGAAAGGGCCTGAGAACTCATCTCGAAATTGTTTTTCTAAACCAAGACCGATTGGCA